CCCACATCCTGGCAGTTTGCTTAAAAATTCTCTAGAAATGTGTGAATGACTGAAGAAAGCCAATGATATAAAAATAGTCTTCAGTGGCTCTGGGGAAAGAAAGGTGTGATGAGGCGTGTTCCGTTCACATCACGCGGCAGCCTCGCGAGGTGGTCCTCGGGTCCCCCTGCTGATGGAAAAGATCCTCTTCGCCAAACTCGGCCCCCTCTTCTTCTCCCTCCTCCCCGTTCTCGGTCTCCCGCACCACCGAGGACTGTTTCACCGTTCTGATGGCCACTTCCTCCCCATCGGCGTTGACCAGGACAGTCCGGAAGCTCCCGCCTGTGCCCCAGCTGTTCTGACTCTTCCACACAAGTGTCGATGGGGGGCTGTGGGCCACTCCTGCACCAGCTGCCCACACCGTGACAGTCTGGCCAGCCCGAAGCACATACTTGGGTGTGAACTTGTAGGCAATCTCCTCCCCTTCCAGCACCTGCCTCTTGATCCTCCAGTTCCCCAGAGACTGGTCCTTGTCAGAGCTGTTCTTCAGCTGCACAAACTTGCCCTCCAGGTCGATCTCCTCAATGCTAACGCTGCCCGAGGCTGAGGCCTGCTGGGCCAGGTGGAAGCTGCTGCTGCTGCTGCCACTGCCCAAGCTGATGCCACTGGAGCCTGTGCCCGGTGGTTCCTCTGTCTCTAGCCGCCTCCGCTTGCTGCGGCCAGAGCGTCCCATCATGGACACACTGCTGCCGCTGCTCGAGGTGGCCCTTGAGATGGTGACCCGTGACGATGGGCTGGGGGAAAGCTTCAGCCTCTCCTCCTCGCCCTCCAGCAGCTTGCGGTAGGCGCTGATCTCCATGTCCAGAGCCAGCTTGACGTCCAGCAGCTCCTGGTACTCGGCCAGCTGCTGCTGCATCACATCTCGCATTTCCGTCATCTCCAGCTCCTTAGCATCCAGCATCTTCCGGAACCTGTCACGCTCCCCGGCCATGGCCTCCTCCAGCTCCCGGATCCGGTCCTCAGCTGCACTAGCCTGCTTCTGGAGGCTGGAGAGCTGGTAGCTGAGGGACTCAACTCGCATGCGTGCCTCCTTCAGCTCCTCACGGGCAGCGCTGGCGGCCTTATCATTCTGGTCAGAGCACAGCTTGGCATTGTCCAGCTTGGCCTGGTAGGCCTGCTCCAGCTCCAGCTTGTAGAGCCGCACTTGCTCGTCGTGCTGGCTTCGCAGCTCCTCCAGTGCCTGTGCCATCTTGAAGTCGTACTCCTGCTGCCGGCCGCTGTCCACCTCCACTAGGTGCCGCTCATGCTGCCGGCGTGTCTCCCGCACCTCCTCCTCGAAGACGCTCTTGCGGAAGTCGAGCTCCTCCTGCAGGCTCTGACAGCGGTTCTCCAGGTCCACGCGCATCAGCGTCTCCTTCTCCAGCTGCTTCTTGGCCACTGCATGACCGTCCTCTGCCTTGGCCAGCTGGGCCCGAAGCTCGGCCACATCACTCTCGAGGCTGCGCTTATCACTGAGGGCAGCGGCCAGCTCCGCCTCACTCCGGTGGAATAGGGACTCCAGTTCCTTCACGCGGCCCTGGGCCACCGTGAGCTCACCATCCCTCTTCTTGGAGCTTTTGTTGGCCTCTTCCACCTCAGACCTCAGTTTCCCTATTTCGATCTGCAGGCGGGCCCGCTCCCGGGCTGTCTCATCCAGCACTCGGCGGGCATCGGCCAGCTCCGATTCGTACAGCGTCTTAATGCCACTTACCTCGCGCGTGGTCACGTCCTCCCGCTCGGAGATCTTGAGCAGGAGCCGGTCATTCTCCAGCTCCAGCGCGCGGACGCGGTCGATGTAGTGCGCCAGGCGGTCATTGAGCTCGCGCAGCTCCTCCTTCTCCTGCAGCCTCGACAGGCGCGTGGGCGACAGCGGCGTGGCGGGCCCGCCCTTGCGGCCGGACAGCGGCATGGCCGTGGCCATGGCGGCGGCAGCGGCGGCGTCGGCGGCTCCTCGGGGCCCGCGCGGTTCCTCACGGCGGCCGCGGCTCGGCGGGCTCATTCAATCCCCATATTTATTTCTTAAACACTCACCAGAATTTCTTGTGACCCTTTGTGTGGTGTGGTGTGGTGTGGTGTGTTGCAACCAGTTTGGTTGGTTTGCTTATGGGCATGAGTGGGCATCTGTGGGCATGGGGTAGAGGACCGTAGGCAGTGGTACTTGAGTACTGAAGGGTGTGAGTGGAGAAGAGACATCAGTGCAGCAGCAGTAGAGGTGGGCTCTGGATAACTGAGATCTGATGTAGTTTTCAGTAGACAAGGTTGAAGGAAAAAACAAGTTGGGAGGGAGGCCTTCATAGCAGAACTGAAGGCTGTGTTTGGACAATCAGACTCAGGTTAGTACGTGATACTGTTTGAATTTGGTGTGCATTTTCTGGAAAACACATGCTGAGTAATGACTAAGACCAAGGAGATGTCTGTGGGAGCTGGGGCCACGGGAGTGCAGGTGTGAGAGAGGTGTGGGAGAAGGAGTGATGTGCTCTTGGAGAGGGAGTGTGAATTCATCGCCACAGATCCCTGATATTGACATAGAGGGAATGAAGGTTGAGTCCGTTTCTGGTGATAACTGGATGACACAACATGGGTAATTCCTGAAAAGACGGGTGTTGTGGCAGTACATGCCAGTTCCAGAATTTAGGTGTCATATAGGTGCACACCTGCCTGTTGTTGTTGGGCTGATACAGTGATCAATAGCAATGGGATAGCATACATCAGTGTCACCTGGGCTGGAAAATCTCTACTGGCTTGGGGAAGGGAGAAGGGTAAGAGAGAAATACATACAGAGGAGGCGAGTCAGAATGTTGAAAAGACGGTGATTAGAAAACATCCTCTCCTCTTCATGGCACAGATGTGTTATCTTTGAAGATGTGACTCTCGGAATGAAGCTGCATGAGAGAAGTGGGATACAAAAAATTATGTGGAAAAGGTGGGGAAAGTGTTGGCCTCAGCAACCTAAGATTGGAATCAAAAGGGTGACGAGTGATGCCATGTTTTTCGGGGTCTTGGAGGTGGAATCTGTGGGACAACAAGGATATTGCTCCACAAGACCAGTGTCAAATCACTCACATGTGTGTTTTTGATAAACATTTCTATGTACCCTATGTTGGGACACCCATTGCATTGACTCTAAATGTGAAGCCCTGAGGTCAGGTACAATCAATCTGGGCATCTGCTCTATTGTGGGAAGACACAGGATCAGTAGGAATATAAGGAGAGAATGACTCTGATTTATTCAAGGCCTGCTCTTTTCTGTGATGTGGGAGTGGAGGGAACAGATGGATATGGAGAGTGGAAAGTATGATGAAATTAAAGCCTAGGAGAGAAGCTGATCATGGACTGAACTGTCTCCATTACGACAGGATATGAACTTTGAGGACGTGGCCATTGCCTTCTCTCAGGAGGAGTGGGGGCTCCTTGATGAGGCGCAGAGACTTCTGTACTGCAAAGTGATGCTGGAAGTTTTTGCTCCTAGGTCATCTGTAGGTAAGACCTTCACATCTCTCCTAGTGTCCTGAAGTGATGTCCTCTCTTCCTTTCTTTTCCAAATGTAGCTTTCTCTCTCCCACCGCCAGACCATGGGCTAGTTTTCCCAACTGTCCTATAAATGTGCTGTGGCTTCCGGTGCTGACTTGTGGTGTGTAGAGATCCCTGAGCAAAAGACTCCATAAATAACCCTCAAACCCATCGCCTCAAATAGTGCAGGAAGTGTCTGGGAATCAGGATTGTTGCAGAATCCTTAATGGGTCCCACCTCGAACTTCCTTTTCCTGTGAGGGGGACTATGTCCACATGCGTGGCTTCCACTTCTGACCCCTTCCTCAGCTAAAGGCTGTTTGTGACTATGCCAGGTGATGGTTTTTACCTACATGAACCACGTGCGGTTCTTGTAAGACATTCCTTCCATTGTTTGTAATACTCTGTTCCCTGGATGCTATGACATGCTGTGTTGATAAGAGCTGGTGCTGGCTGCTCACCTCTGTTGTCTTTCGGTAAAAGTCAGAATATTTGTGTTTTATGTGCTTGTACAGTAGAAGGTGCAAAGAGAACCCTAGTCTTTTTTTTTCACAGGGTGAACTTGCAGGATGATCTAAGACAGTGGTTCTCACCTTCGGGCCCTTTAAATACAGTTCCTCATGTTCTGACCCAACCATAAAATTATTTTCGTTGCTACTTCATAAGTGTAATATTGCTACTGTTATGAATTGTAATGTAAATATCTGATATGCATGATAGTCTTAGGTGACCCGTGGGAAAGGGTCGTTCGACCACCAAAGGGGTCGCGACCCACAGGTTGAGAACCAGTGATCTAAGAGGTAGTCGAGCCCGGTTGAGGTGCACCTGGTAGAGCTTTGCCCTAAGGGCTGTGTTTAGAGAAAACCAGGAACCTGCTCATGTCCAACAGAGTTTAGGTTCAAGTGCCACTGGCAGCAGCTCATTTCTACCTTTTCATTCCCATGCTTGACACTTTGCTGACTTCTCTTTTGATCTGTGACTTCCTGGATTTTAGCTACCTTTACCTCTGTGGCCTTTTTGCATCCCCTGTCCACCTGTAAGGCTCTGTCTGCAGTATTCTCAAATGTTAACCTGCACATGTGCACACACGTGCTTATGTAGTCCTCAACACAACCACCCCATTTCTTGTATTTTACTTGGAATAAGATGTAAGCAACCTTCTGCACAGCTTGCCCATGTCACCATCAGACAAGCCCAGCTGAACACTGTTAGCAGAGGAATGAGCAGACGATCCAGCTTCTATTCCATGGGGTGCTTGCCATGTTTGTTTATATTTTGTTTGGGATCTTCCCCGTTTTATATTATTCAGTAGCACAGAACTTCACAGGAGCATCTTATATATTCTTCCTATAGTTATGTTACTGTCAGACAAATGCATGGAATCAACGTGTTAAGTGCAACACACTTTTGTAAAGGCACTTCTCCCTGTCACCACCGTCGACATTCATTTCGGCACTATTTTTCTGTTTTCAGGTTGTTGGCATAAAACGGATGATGTGGAGGCCTGTTCTGAGCAGAATGTATCCATAGGAGAGTCACAGGTCAGTGCTTCTAAGACAGCCTCCGCAACCCTAAAGAGCCATGTCTGTGGGAGGTGTTTCTCATTGTTAAAAGATATTCTGCATCTGACTGAGTCACAAGCAGCAGACTTTGAGCAGAAAGCCTTTATCAGTGATGCATGTGTGAGAGGCTTGTGTTTCAGTGCAAACCCTCACCAGCAACAGAGGGAAGCCGGTGGAGAGAAGCCCTGGAAAGGAGCTGTGGACAGGGCCTCATTTGTGAATTGGTGCAGCTTCTACTTACCAGGGCTTCCTTCATCCAGTAGGCAGGTTGGGGAAGACTTCCCAGCCATCTCAGAGCTTCTCCAGAACCAGGCCACTCCCAACACTGAGGAGCCACACAGTGGCAGTGAGATTTCAGAAGAATTTCTCAATAGAGACAGGCATCACCAATGGTATGAATGTGAAAAAGCTGCCAGCCACAACCAGAACCTTGTTCAACATTTGGGTATCTGCTCTGGAGAAGTGAAATATGAATGCAATATATGTGGGAAAGTTTTCAGATGTATCTTTAACCTCAATAGACATAGGAGAGTTCACACTGGAGAAAAACCTTATGAGTGTAGCAAATGTGGGATGTCATTCAGGCAAACCTCTGCTGTGAAAAACCATCAGAGAGTTCACATCGGAGAAAAGCCGTATGAGTGTAGTGACTGTGGGAAGTCATTCAGGCAAATCTCTACTCTAAATAACCATCAAAGCGTTCACACTGGAGAAAAGCCATCTGAGTGTAGTGATTGTGGGAAGTTCATCAGTAATAGGTCTGTCCTCACTGTACACGAGAGAGTTCACACTGGCAAAAAGCCGTATGAGTGTAGTGACTGTGGGATGTCATTCAGGCAAATCTCTACTCTAAATAACCATCAAAGCGTTCACACTGGAGAAAAGCCATCTGAGTGTAGTGATTGTGGGAAGTTCATCAGTAATAGGTCTGTCCTCACTGTACACGAGAGAGTTCAATCTGGAGAAAAGCCGTATGAGTGTAGTGACTGTGGGAAGTCATTCAGGCAAATCTCTACTCTCAATAATCATCGGAGAGTTCACACTGGAGAAAAGCCATATGAGTGTAGTGATTGTGGGAAGTCCTTTAGCACAAGCTCTAATCTCATTCGACACCATAGAGTTCACACTGGAAAAGCACCTCCTGAGTGTATTAAATGTGGGAAATCTTTTCGCTACCAATCTTTCCTCGTTCAACACTTGAAAGTATACACTGGAGAAAAGCTTTAAATGTGCAGGCAATATTTTATCTTTCTCACTCAGAATAACAATACCAATGGAGGAACTTTACACCCATTTACCTGAATAAGAATCCCTTTTATCAGAACATACACTCCGCTAGATTCCTGGTAAGTTTCAGGTACAATAGTGGTTTTCAGAAACTGCATTGCACCTGCTAACCCAGTCAGACCTCCTACCTGATAGATGTCACTGAGAGTATTTGTGGGGAAACTATTTCACCCCTACCACCTGGCTCACCTTTAGAGTGTGCATCACTCACAGCCTCTGCAGACTCTGGGGTTGTGCTTGAGAAAATTATGAATATTCCAAGCTCCTGGCTGGATCTTCACTCCTTTCTCTCTGACTAGAGAATTGACCTGACCCAGGCTTTTGTCAAAAACCCTCTGCCTCAGCTAAAAAGTGCTACCTCTTCAGGGACATTGTGGTTCTCACTTTATGCTGTGGGGAATTGTTTCAGGTTCCAAATGACCATCCTGCAAACCTCTTGCTGTCCTTTGCTCTGGTTTATGATCTTTATGTAAAGGTGTTTTTTCTTTGGTACCTTTAATTTTGTTGGTTGTATTCTTTCCCTGGGATGATTGACAGGAAAGTAGTGATCTGTTAGCATGAACAGGTGAACAGATATGGTGGGTCCCAAACTTTCTGTGCTTTTGAAGGCACCGCTTGATGGCAGAAAATCACTCTTTGTTCAATATTGGCTAATTTTGTATTGCCAACCAAGGCCTTGAGAGAAAGTGTGCATGACTTTGTGGTTCTAATTTGTTGTCTGGTGCCTCTTTTATCATAGAGGTCATTGGTCACCCTGAATAGGCAGTGTTTATTGTGCTCTGTGAACAATATGAATTATATTCTCTGTTCACAGTATTTATTACTTAAGTGTCAGCAATGTTTAGGCGAACTGCTGTCCACGTGCTGTAAAGAGGCCATGTGTCATGATGTATGAGATTTCATAGGCTGGTGTCATTTGTTGTAAGACTCTGAGGTGGAATTAGTATCTACACTAATAAAAAACAAGAATGCAAATTGCTGTACCTTTGCTATGCCTTAGGCCACACCCATCAGCCAGTCAGAGCAGCTATATGCAAATTACTCGAACCAAGATGCCGGTTAATTTGCATATACTGGCTGGGAGCGAAGACTGAATACAACATGGAAGCGAAGTGCTACAGAAGGGAGGAAAGTAGAGGCAGTGGAGACTGGAATGGAACCAAGGCTGTGGAGGCAGGAGGCAGGAGGGGAAACCCAGCCGCAGCAGCTGGGAGCATGAGGGGAAACGCAGTTTGAGTGGCTGGGAGCATGAGGGGAAACGCAGTTTGAGTGGCTGGGAGCAGGAGGGGAAGCCGTCTCAATGGGTTTTGCTCTCTTCTCTGCTTTGTTCCAGCCTCGGGAAGCCCTGTGCTTGCAGGACTCTTCCTACAACGGGCCTCTAGTTGGGACATAAGCACTGTTTGCATACTCATGGGAGACACTGCAGCTAAACCAGATGAAAAGTGCCTCTTCTGGGCATAAATCCAACATTACTCCGAGGCCTGTAGCTTGTATGCTATTTGAGGACATTCTGAGGACCTCCATCGCTATTTCCTGTAGCTGAAGTCACTGGCAGAGAAAATAATCTAATGGTTTTGTAGATTCCCCCGGGCCCTCTATGGTGTCCACCTCAAGGTTATTGCTCAACAGGCAAGACCTCAAATCTAGAGGAAGGATAATGCTGTAGTCAGTCCCAGGATGTGTCTTTTTTAACCAGTCAGCATTCCTGTTGATTCCAATGGCAATAGTCTTCACTACTTGCCAACATTTGCTGCCACTGAGGCAAGGGTGTTCCCTCTCTAGAAAATGAGAACTGACATGCAACAAAGTACACCTTTCTCATGTGTGCTATTTGGTGAGCCCTGACATAGAGATAAAGCTGTGAAACTGTCACATGTGAAATAAACCCACCTGTAACCAATACCCAGGGTGGGGCACTAATGGACTTACAGTTTTAAGTTCAGAAAACACAGAGATTATTCTTTTAAAAATACTTTAGAAAAACACTTTTATTATCCAGCCAGGGCCATATTTACTTCTTAAACGCTCACCAGAATTTCTTGTGATCTTTGTGTGGCTGGTGTGCTGCATCCAGTTTGGTTGATATGCTTATGGGCAGGAGTGGGCATCTGTGAGACTCACTGGCCATGGGGTAGAGGACCATAGGCAGTGGGACTTGAGTACTGAGGGCTGTGAGTGGAGAAGAGGCATCAAGTGCAGCAGCAGTAGAATTGGGGTCTGGATAACTGAGATCTGATGTGGTTCTAAATACGTTAGTAGGTTGAAGGAAAAAACAATTTGTTAAGGAGGCCTTCATAGCAGAACTGAAGGCTGTGTCTTGGGTGTGGGCATTCAGAGTCAGGTTAGTACTTGATACTGTTTCAACTTGCCATGCAGTCTCTGGAACACACATGCTGAGTAATGACTAAGACCAAGGAGATGTCTATGGGATCTGGGGCTATGGGAGTGCAGGTGGGAGAGAGGTGTGGGAGAAGGAGTGATGTGCTCTTGGAGAGGGAGTGTGAATTCATGGCCACAGATCCCTGATGTTGACATAAGAGGGAATGAAGGTTGAGTCCATTTCTGCTGTTAACTGGATGATACGACATGGGGAATTGTAGGGTAATTCCTGAAAAGACAGATGTTGTGGCACTATATGCCAGGTCCAAAATTTAGGTGTCATTTAGGTGCACACCTACCTGTTGTTGTGGGGCTGTTACAGTGAACATAGGAATGCGATAGCAGACATCAGTGTCACCTGGGCTTGAAAATATCTACTGGATTTTGGAAGAGAGATGGTAGGAGAGAAATATATTATAGAGGAGGTGAGTTAGAATGTTTTAAAAAGGTGATTAGAAAACAACCCCTCCTCTACATAGCTTATATGTGTTGTCTTTGAAGTTGTGACTCTGGGAATGAAGCTGTATGAGAGAAGTGTGATACAAAGAATTATGTGGAACAGGTAGCAAAAAGTGTTGGCCTCAGCACCCTAGGATCGGAATCGAAAGGGTGAGGAGTGATGCCATGTTTTTTGGCGTCTTGGAGGTGGAATCTGTGGGACAACAAGGATATTGCTACACAAGACCAGTTTCAAATCAGTCACATCTCTCTTTACAGCCAACATTTATCTGTCCGCTGTGTTGGTGACACCCATTGCGTTGACCCTAAATGCGTGCCCCTGATGTCAGGTATAATCAATCTGGGCATCTGCTTTATGGCTGTGGGAAGAAACAGTATCAGTAGCAATATAAGAAGAGAGTGACTCTGATGGATCCAAGGCCTGCTATTTTCTGTGAGGTGGGAGTAGAGGGAGCAGATGGATATGGATAGTGGGAAGTATGATGAAAGAAAACGGCTAGGAGAGAAGCTGGTCATGGACTGAACTGTCCCCATTACGACAGGATATGAAGTTTGAGGTCATGGCCATTGGCTTCTCTCAGGAGGTGTGGGAGCTCCTTGATGAGGCTCAGAGACGTCTGTACTGCGATGTGATGCTGCAGCCTGTGTCATGTCGGCCGCCATCTTGGATCTCTCGCATTCAGTTCTTTATATACATGTATGTTTTACTTACCTGTTACAGTGTAATTGCGTGTTTTACTTTTGAAGATATGCAGAACTGTGATCTAAAGTGGTCATTCCCTTTGACATCACAGACACACACAATAATGAAAATTCTAGTTGTTTTTTCTTTATTCATATGAGCTCATGAGAGG